CCCCCCCCCCCCCCCTCAGTAGCACAACGGTATCTCTGTGAACTTGTGGATCTAGAAATTGGGTTTCGATAACCGTGGTGGGCAGAGCACAAATAGCCCAATGTGTAGCTTTGTGCTTAATTACAAACAAACAAACTGTCCCCCGGTGGGACAGGAATAAGTCTACGAATCTACCACGTTAAAATCATGGAGGTCGGTTCTCCTAATGGACACAGTACATAGCCCGATGTGGCTTTGCTATAAAAAACACGCACTTAAAGCTCAAACTCTGCAGACACTTTAAAATGACGCTCATTCAGCTGTTACTTGTCCTTGTAACATCTTACTTCAGCATCGATCGCACTCGGTCTGATTATACAATATTGCCCGTCTCCGCAATTTCCATTGTAACATTCGTTTGTGACGGCTGGAGAGAACGGTCTCAGACAACACATCTTGACACAGATTCTCCATGAATGTCGGCTTCCAAAACCTCGCTTAAATAATAATAAAAAAAACAAGGGTTGCATCGCAGAAGTTGATATACATTTGGTTCAACTGGATTGTCGTGATTTAAATTTTTTCAACACTTTTTCTCATGATTTTGAGGTGTGACAAGAAGTTTGAAATAGTTTGGTTTGTGAAACTTCATATCATTGTTTATTATTATGTTAACGATACCACGAGATGTGTCCAGCTTGAAGCAATGCCTTTTTGGTTCAGACGGTTCTCTTTCGTACCCGTGGATCAATATCCTTGCTCGAAATGTACTATGACATATTATCCAGTCAAAATTTATACTTCATTTTTTCTGATAGCGCACTGTCAAATGATCGGAGATACGTCATGAGTCAATTATGTAGATGCTAAACATGGCGCTAAGACTGCAGCAACATGCATATACAAATCGTTCTTACCAAAATTACTTAACCACCTGTCATGTTACCTTCTACCATATGATGATTTTCAAAGGATGACTTGATTTTAAGTCTGGTTCTGCAGATACTAATCATGAAAATACATTTTTGCTATTTCTTTTTTTCACAGTAGGCCTGGCTTAGTTTATTACAATAGGCGTGATTGCTTTTTTTACAGTAGACCTGGCTTAGTTTTTCACAAGAGGCGTGACTGCTTTTTTACAGTAGGCCTGGCTTAGTTTTTTACAATAGGCGTGATTGCTTTTTTTACAGTAGACCTGGCTTAGTTTTTCAAAGTAGGCCTAGCTTAGTTTATTACAGTAGGCCTGGATTAGTTTTTCACAAAAGGCGTGATTGCTTTTTTTACAGTAGGCATGGCTTAGTTTTT